TGGCAGGCAGACAAATTAACATAGTTGAGCATTTGGAGTCGTACTCCCGAGTTTGTGATCTGACAATAGAGCGACAATTGAATTTGGCATACAGCAGGTGGGCACCAACACAGTTTCAGATCAGTGCTAACTTTTCTTCTATTTGCTGGATGTGGCGGTTGTGTGTTAACAAGTTTGACATAGGGCGACTTTTTGCCAGTGTTGTGTTATCATCTTTTTTTTCTCTGGAAATGCACAGTAGCATATGGAGCTGCGGTCAGATGTTTACATGCACTCATCATGGGTATGAATGACATGGGAATTTGGGGCTTTTAATGGTTTATTTGAACTGTTTTTGTTTTTTTTTTTCATTGTGGGATGATTCTACAATATACATCTTTAATGTCTGAAAAACAGTCTTGAATTTAGTTTGGATTTTTCTGATACACACAGCAAAAGCATGCATACCTTCACTTAAAATCTTTTAATAAGTGGCACTACAAAATGGGCAATTGGTAGTTTCTCTTTGCCAGCATCAAAGGGGTTTGCTTGGCCAATGAGTCATTTAGAACAGCGGCCCCCAACCTTTTTTGCGCCCCGGACCGGTTTATGCCCGACAATATTTTTACGGACCGTCCTTTAAGGTGTCACGGATAAAAACAACAAAAAACTAGTACCGGTACCGAAAAAAGAAGATTTATTCATAACACACATGAAAAGACCCAGGAAAACTGAGTTAACAATAAAAGCGATAACAAAATAACGTTGAAAACCGATAAAAACCCTGAAAACCATACATTTCACACCTGAGCCTCAACTCTCGCGGCCCGGTACCAAACGACTCACGGACCGGTACCGGTCTGAGGCCCGGGGGTTGGGGACCGCTGATTTAGAACAATGGGGAACTCAGTAAATATCTAAAAATAAGAATTGTAGATTTACACAAACTGGGAAGATCTCTTGGAGCCATTTCTAAACAACTGCAGATTCCAAGAGCATCAGTTCAAAAAACTGTATGCAAATACAAGTAATTCAAATGAGTTGCCACTTATGCCACAATTATGCAAATTCTCATGACCATTGATCAACAACCACTGACCAAAACCCACTGATGGTCAGTGGTTTGGTCAGTGGTTGTTGATCAAACAACAATAATTTGCATAATTATGATTAAGGAACTGACCTCACAGCCCATTGTTCCTTTAGTGGGCTGGTTTCAGTCATTATGCAAATGTACTGTTTATAAGATTGGGGAATCCTGCAGTCAGCTGAGACTGAAGAAGTCACTTGGATGAGTGATGAAACGTTTCTCCCAGAATACGCTACGTCCAGATGAACAGAATCAACTTTTGGAGATTTATTTTCCTGGATGATTGAGAATGCATCAAGACGTTTTTCTCCCAGCTGTAACTGGCGGCTTTGTTTTAGCAGAACCAGAACTTTCTGAAAAGCTCTGAAGCATGCTTGCTTGTATTTAAAAATGTGCGCGGCAGTAGTCACTTGTTCTGTCATGCAGATACAGCTTTGCTCACATATCTGCTTCATTATCCGCTCAGATGATCGCACTGTGTGGAAACACTGGGACACAGCAGCATCATGAACTCCAGCTATAGGGAGATTTTTCAGGAGGAAAACAAATAAATAAAAAAAACATTCATGTTATAAATATGAGACCTGGTCTGTCATTTAAAATTTCATTTTTTTTGTCCCCTTACTTCTTAGATCATCGAAGAGTTCAGACGCATCACCAGTTTCGTTGGTGGAGACATTCATGCTGAAACTTGATGAGTACACACCAGGTCTTTTGCAGCTTATGCGTGCCAAAGGAGGAGCTGCTGGTTCCAAGATGAGACCTCTGCTGGACACTTTGAATGATGTATGTTATTTGACTTTTTTCACAAATATGTAATTATGGAGGCCTGCAGTGGGTAGCAAGAAGGTCCTGGGTTCGAATCCTGGCCCGGGGTCTTTATGCATGGAGTTTGCATGTTCTCCCTGTGCATTTCTGGGTTCCCCCCAGGTATTCTGGCTTCCTCCCACAGTCAGAAAACATGACTGTTAGGTTAATTGGATTCTCCAAATTGTCCTTAGGTTTGAGTGTGTGCGTGCATGGTTGTTTATCCTGTCTGTCTCTATGTTGCCTTGTGATTGACTTTCCAGGGTGTACCCAGCCTCTCTCCTGTTGAAAGCTGGAGATAGACATCAGCCACGTTTTTGTTGTTAATTCAGTCTTAATGTAAGTAAATCATTCGACTTAGTCTTTTCATTAAATTGTATCTCCCGACAGACACAAAGCATTGAGAAGAAAAGGGATCTCCTTATCTGCTGCCTCATTAGCTACCTCGGGGAAAGACAAGAAGATCTTTTTCATGACTGCCAGGTATGTCATATTGATAACAGATTACTTAACTCAAGGGATTCTAATGTTCTTCTCTCCTGTCCTCTCCTATCCCCTGTTCTCCCCTTCTCCATTCATCATCTGTCCAGATGTGTCCATTGTGATTGAGGGAAACCAAGTGAAAGAGGGATGTGGAAGCCGAACAAAGGCATGTGTACTGCTGATGGGACTGATATATGCCCTCAACCTCGAATATCTGAATGAGCTGAAGAACACATTTGACACTTTTCTAAAACTGTTTTTTGGAACTTGAAGGGGCCAAACTACTGAAAAAGGTCCACGGCCTCAAAAATAAGCTTGTGCAATGCACACACATTTCCCCTCTTGTTCCAAGAGAATCTTTTGTCCAGACATAGCTTGATGGAGCTGTAATTTTTCTTCTGACAGCAAGCACAGATTGAATGTTGGTGTTAGTGTTCTGTTCTATGTATCCATATTTTTGATAACGTACATGCACAGAAACAACCTTGTAGAGTTTCTGTATGTGCTTTTGGCTTTTAAAATGGACTAAGTGGCCTTTGAAAGTGTTGTCTGCATTAGCTGTTGTGTTGCACTTTATTCTGTGTTTTTATGGAATAAAAACATTGAGATGATGAACCATCTGAATGTCTTTTTTGGGGGGTACATTTTACCTTATATGAATAGTAGGGGTGCAAAGATACTCGTATCGAACCGTTCAATACAGTGCTTTCGGTTCAGTACGCATATGTATTGAAC